CAGGAAGTTTCTGGCATACAAAGGAAATGAATATTGAGCTCATGAATTTCAACTGTTGCATAACTAATAAGGGACATCCTCCTGTCAGTCTCATTCAGAACCCTTAATAGTTTCATCCTACAACAGAGTTGTGTTTAGGTTGGAAGATTTACCTCAGAAGAGAAAACAGATTTACCTCACATGAGAAAATAGATTTACCTCACATGAGAAAACAGATTTACCTCAGAAAACAGATTCATGCTCAAACCTGTACCTCAGACAGTGGCTGTGAGAGGCCCTGCAGGAACAGCCTCGTCACCAGTTCCAATTTACCTTCAGGTCATCCGGGATGAAGACTTTGCGAGCTTTCTTAATCATGGGCTGGGGCTTCAGCTCTTCTTCAGAGAACTTGCGCTTACGAGGATCAAACATCTCCTGGCCAGGAATACTGGAAAGAGCAAGATCTGCAGGGTCAGGTTCGTAGCCGACAGGGACTTGGATAGTCTCAGGATCGATGGGACTCGGTGTGTTTCGGTTTGCTGGCAAGATCTGACCTGCAGAAACACAGAGTAATACAGCCATGTTAGAGAAGTATGTAAATAGTATCACTGAGCAGGGATTTTAGAAGATCTCCACATAGTTCAAAAGCAATGATTCTTCAAGCTTTCCCTGAGCATTTGGTATCTGCTTTTGATCCATATTAAGATTGTCCATTCTGCAGGGTGCATATTCAGATCCTGACATGCTCATGCCTTCAAATTTCTAATTCCAGCTGCTAATCTTGGATGCCCACATAAGCTCACTGCATCCAACACTGAACTGCAGGTCAAAGATACCAACCTGTGCTCCAACCTGTGCCACTTCAGCAGGATCCCAGGGTCTCAGGAACAAGTCATAAGTACTGTTCTTTAGTTCAGATTTACTCACCACACTGCAACCCTTCCTGGTTATCTCATGCACAGATTTCCTCACATACGCCTTTGGGGGTGTGTTTAGTTTACAATCAAACAATGTACAGGACTTGCCGTGCACAGTATCTCACCAGAGTGTACTTTCAGCTGTGCTGAAGCACTCCAAGGAGACCTCTATCAATTCTCTGTGAAATCCTACCAGTGATATTCTAAAAGTCAGTGCAACATGAAAGGCTACAACTCCTTAAAAACGCTCTGCAAGAATGAAAGAACACTTACCGATGCTGCATTTCTCTTTTATGATATATAAAATCTAATAAAAAGGAACCTAGCCCCGGAAAATGAATGCTAGCCCTCCCATTTTTCTTTCTTTTTTTTTTTTTTTTTTGATCTTAGATACAGCCTTCGAGATCCCACAGCACCAATTCAGGCACCATTCCCACTAAAAATCCAATTTAAAATCTCAACCAAAGGTTCCAAAAATAGGATCCTGAAGTCAGCTGCCTAAACGTGGACTTCCCCTGGGGGCAGAATTTTCAGAAGTTTTCACATGCCTCAGAAGTAGAAGCCTCACAGACTTCAGAGGGAGGACTTCTGATTGAAACAGATATTCTTTTATAATTTTGGCTATTTGCTAATTCACTTTGACTTTAGCCATCTGACGGCTTTTATAACTACAAAAACATCCTGTGACTGTGTAATATTTCCTTTTTTGTGCCCACATCTGCAATATTTAGGGTGTAAAATGGTAAACATTAAATGTCATTTCTAATTCCAAACCAAGGCCAGTGTTAACAATGTAAGTTTTATTTTAATCTAGGAGATCGTGGCAACAATATTGGAATCACATGGAAAAGGCACCAGGGAATTGTGTTGTGCAAACCAGGGCTTGCTAAGGGAGAGCTTTGTCTTTTGTAACTCCTATTTAAAGCTGATAAAATCAGCTTTCAGGAAAGGCTGGTAAGGGCTGGGGAGAAGAGAAAAGGAGGATCAAAGTTATTAAAATATGTATCTACGGCTATGGGAGAGGGAGGGAGAGGAAAGGATGCTGCTGCATCCTATTTAAAGGATGAAACACAGGAAAGGCTCCTTTAAATGCCTGTAGCGGAGCAGCCAGGTATTCTTTACTGCACACAAATACACAGACACATGCACACGCAAATCAGGCAAATTCTGTAATGCAGATAAAAATGAAGCAAGATGTGAGCTCTGAATACTTTTATATTTCTAGTGAGCAAGCAGGGTGTTTCTAAAAGTCAGGTGGATTGTGAAATCTACCCCAGCTTTCCAATTGCCCCACACAGAAGAGCCTGTATTTAAATGCTGCTGAAGTTCTTGACACGCAGTATCAGTTTGCATATTATCATTTATCTGTAAACTGCCAGATTACACAATTACATGAGCTCTGTAATCATTGGCCTCAAGAAATTTTACAATATCACTCAGAGAAAGGGCAAAAATATTCCTTTTAAACAAGGGAAATCGAGCCATTGCATCTTAGCAATGCAACAGCAAAATAAAGAGTGATGCATCTCCACGGTGACCTGAGAGAAGAACCTGTGGCAAACAAGACCCTGCCTTGCTCCCTACATGCACACATTTCATTCATCTCCCCTAGCCCAAGGAGCTCTCACAACTAGAGAGCCAGCACAGCCCTTCAGCAAGCACAAGATGTCCCAGTGCCAGCGTGAAGCTCGTTCAGGGTGAACGCTGTCCTAAGGCAAAGCCTGAGCAAACCACGCACACCCCTGAACGCCGTCACTGGGGAGCCCAGAGGGCATTGCCCTGTAAGATACCCCTACACCCATGGGGCACACACCCCTCAGCCTGTGTGGGCCAAACTCTGTTCTGCCATGGTCCTGCCAGTGACCAGGAGCTCCCCCAAAGGACAGAGTTAACAAGCCCCGAGCAGAAAAACCAGCACTGCCTCGCACGGCGTTTTACATGAGGCAACTCCTGGCACTCGCCACCTCTTTATTTATTCAATCAAGTTTTTGCCAATAATGCGAGCCAGGAACCTGTCTCCATCAGTTTACTGGCCAATGGCCACGACATCTCCGTGGTGCTGGAACTCTCCATAATCCAAGAGGGCGGCGTGGGCAGCGCTGGCACTGCCGGAGAGCAGCGGCCTCGCCTTGCATCGCTCCCCGAGCTCCTCTCCCCGCGTGTGCACGGCCCTTCTCGCCGTGCACCCTCCTGCCAAATTTGTTCTGGGTGTTATTTTTATGCACTCAAATTCCTCGCAATCAGAGGCAGGTCAAATAAGCACAGCAATCTGAGTGTCATGTGCCCAGCAGCCGACTAATCCTCGCATCAGCAAACTTCCCAGCTGTCACAACATCCAGAGGAAAGGGCTGGTAAGAGGCGGTGATGCACAAGGAGTCAGCCAAGGAGGAAGCCCACTCTGCCAGCTGCCAGGGCCAGGCAAGGTGAGGCACCTCACTGCCCAGCACTGGGAGCCAGCTGCCTTTGCCAGGCTCTGTATTATTTAAACACTCTGTGCTCACAACGGCGGCCAAATTTTCACAACAGTGAAGTGGCTGGACTGTTTAATGTGCTTAAGCTTTGTTCTCAATGGGGGCTGATGACTGCCAAGTGTTTTGGAAAGAACTTAGCCCCTCTATTTAAGTTGCTGAAATGAGAGCTCTTGAGCATTAAGCCCTTTTGGAAATCCAGCTGCAGAACTCCACGGTGGTGGTGGTGGTGGATGCAAGCCGGGAACAATTGTTAATGGAAACTTCCCCTCATACCACCCTAGTGATGTGTCTCAACCATGCCCTGGAGAGACCACAGCTATGTCAACACTGGCCTTTTGTCTGGAGCCTTTCCCACTTGTAGAAGAGCTCCACTCAAGCGACACAGAGTATGCCAGGACAGACACAGCTCCAGGTGTCTCCTGGCAAAGGGATCAGCAGGTTTTGACATCCCCAGCAGTTACAGCTGCCCCAAAATCTTGCCTTTGCTGATGCTCTTGGTGTTGCTCTGGCAGATATGAGCAATAGCAGAAAATTTTCCAGAAAGAAGGACTTGAAAGAAAGTTGGCTGTTCTAACCCTTACAGTCTTCCTCCTCCTCCTCTGGGCAGACACTGCCAGTGAGAAAGTTCAGTGTAATGGCAATATTTTCAAAGTGGCTCCTTGTTCAAAGAGAAATGGACTGAGGCCACTCACTTGTGTCATCTAGGTCACCAAATGGCTGGTTTATTAAAAAAAAAAAAAAAAAAAAAAAAAAAAAAAAGCAGTTTTTAATTGCCTGCAATAATTAACATTCACAATTCAAAAGCACAGTAGCATTTTTATACACCCAGAAAAACCCAAATGCTGATCTGGTATCATGGGGAGCTCAATCACCATATCCTGACTCTTAATTTCCCCTTTCTGAAACATCCCACCTACCAGCTGTGCCCAGGAGAGTTAAGACGGAAATAACCTCTTCAGCTGCACCACTGCTTGACAGGCTTCTCATGTGTATTGCAAGAGATCCCTGGTAAATTATGTGGAACTCAATTTTGAATCATTCAACTCCCATAGAAATGTGTCTGATGCTCAGAAAATCTCCCTTCTCACAGCCCTTCCACTCTCCTCATCAGCTCAACAGCTGGCTGGAGAACAGCGCCGAGAGAAAGAAAAGAAAAGGGAGTGAAAATGTTCTAATCAAAATATTTTTCCCTATTTTTTTACACACACTGGAGGGAAATAAAAGAGGAGTTTCTTATTCAATTTATTAGCAGCCCAGAGATAAAACATGTGTTTGCTAATCGTTTTTCTTTCTATAAACTGAAGGCACTTTGTGTGTGTCAGTCAGACTGTGCAGCACAGCAGTTAAACTGACAGATAATCCTCACCCAGAGCTGCTCCAGAGGACGCCGCTGCTCTGCCGATGTGTTTTCCAAACCAGTCTATCCCCTTGGCAGCCGGCCAGCTATTTGGGATAGTTCTCTCACTCCAAATCACAGCCTGTCCCAGACTAATCTGTCATCCAGTTCTGCATTAACTCCTTCTGCTTCCAGGAAAAGCTCTCTCACTGCGGAACGCACGGCAACGAGAAGGAATCGAGAGACGGGCAAAAATCCCCCCAGGCAGCAAAGGAACAGGAAGATTCTGGAGGTCAAGACTTATCTAAGGACAGCATCTTGTCAGGTTATCATTCCTCACTTACAATATTAAAAGCAATCTCTTATCTTCCTATCTAATTTCCCTGCTATCAGGATTTCCGTGTCTTCCAGAAACCAACCCCTTTGGGTGGATAAGCCACACGTTATGACCCTCCAAGCCCTCACCTGGAAGGACAAACCCAACCACTCTCTGCTTGGGGGTGAAGAAGACACTTCACCTCTGGGTGTGTTTATGGAAGCACTTATTAGGGGAGCTTTATTTTCTTCTCAAGCAACAGGAGATCAGTGTATTTTGACCAGGGCTCCAACCCAGCACAGACATTCCTCTATTTCTTATCTTAAACAAACTCAATTCTGCTGAACACGGGGTGACTGCAAACACTTCCTGCGGAAAGAAGGATCTTAATCCAACGAAACCACAACATAATTCGTTGCTTTTAACACACGCTCAGAGACTGGCACATGAAAGTGTTTTTTAAAATGTGTACTTTTTAAAGATATCAGCATTGTTTACAAACCTTGTGCATTTA